TGCAGGCTCTTGCTGAAAGGTCCTTCTCAAGCACAGCTTGACCACTTCCCTTCCCTCCCATGCTAGGCTAATGACCAGGCATCCTTGTAGCCTCAGATGCAAGGCTTTCAAAAGTTGCTCCTTCCCTCTACACTAGCCTGGCAAGCTGCTTCTCTCTTCCATCCTCACTTCACTCGACGACAACTGTGTCGTCCTTTATACTTCCCTGCACTTGCGCACGCCCTCTTCCTGGAATGTGTCTTGTCCAGTTATCTGCACCATCATCAAAACCCTGTCAAAGCCTTCTTAGATGCCTTCCACCCTCCTTTTTAATGTCAGATAATCTCTCTCTTCTCTGTGTCACCTTGTTTCTCATTGGTATTAATAAAATGCTACACTGCCATATATCTATAGTCTACTAAACCTGAAGTCCATTAAACAAAAACATTATTTTATTATCCTTTTCTTCACTTGTAGATCCTAGCACATTGCTCGATAGAATAATGCAATTTTACATTAAGGTAATTATGGTTAGAGAAAATCAAATATGAGCAAACCTTCATTCTAAGTCATAAATTGTATATTAATTCTAAACTACCAGTTCCATTAATTAACTACTCCAATTAAACATACCGAACGTAGAACACATTATGGTAGCCAGAGCTTTTTTTTTCTTCTGAGGAAATTCTGTTCCTTATATTCTGAGGAACTCTTCAAACCTCTTATAACTCCCTGCTTTCCAGTCACTTGACACTTGAGTAATTTGTTTATTTAGTGATAATCAGCCCAAGAACTCCTTAATTCTTTGGATAAGTTAGAGAGGTCATAATTTGGCTCAGACCTGTAAGCCGCTGTGTCTGTCTTCGCTTCAGAGCCCACATGAGGAATGCGATGAGAAGGATCAGCAGAACGGCCCCACAGATCAAGAGCGCAGTGAGGACCGGGTGGCCTGAGCAAAGGGAAATATTATGAAAGACAGTAAGTCCTCAGCTGCTCTTTCGTTGGCCACATACAGGAGCCCTGGAGCAAAACTCCAGCCCTCAGAACTCCTTCTGACCCAAGGTCTTCTAAACAAGAGGGATTCTAAATAATACCGACCCATGCTTATAAATTCCATGATATACCTGTGCCATGCTTTGATTTTGAAGGCGTTTCTGCAGGAGAAAAGAGAAGGAGACTCATTTCTAGGGGCCACAGATAAAGCAAACATCAATATTTCCTTGTATGAACCTTCACTGCCTCTTAAACAAGTGAACTGCATTTTCTAAACCAAAGCTTGGGGTCCCAGTCACTTGTCTCTTGCACAAAGATATATTAGTTGTATGTCTGTTCTGTGTGATGGCCACTGTGTAACAGTAAATGTTTTCAACTTTCCTCTAAATAGAAACACCGTGATTGTCTACCTATCAGACCCCTGTGTTGCCAGATCAAGCATGAATGCATCATATTTTAATGCCTGGAT